AACTATGTTTTTTCTAGTAACAATATAATGGATAAATTATGAAAAAGATATATGTATTTATGAAAAATTTCTGCAGTATTCCGCATCGAATATAAGTAACCAAATTCAACAATGAAGAAGTATATTTTCCTGATAAACATTCGCAGCGTTTAGTTTCTTTTTTATTTTTTTTATTTGAATGAAAACTTTATTTCCGCTCATTCATTTTCGGTTTATGTATGTACTAAAATCAAATTAAGAACTAGACTAAATACGGCCACAGACTTGTGAATTAAACTGTCTGACGTAATACCAAATTTTATGATTCATATTGATAAGACGAAGAAAAAAATTCATTCTAACATTCACTCACTAAAATTTTCAAAATAATGATTAAAGTTCAGATCGCATATTTTAAAAAATAATTGATAGCCTTTCCATTAATATGTTCACAATTGCTTATGAAACTTATTCATAAAACCTTGGTGTTCCGATAAAAGAAAGTCGATCATTAAAGGGTTCCACAGACGAAAGAAATTGGAAACTGATAGGTTTATCTATTGCACGTGAATTGCGTAGTTACTGTAAAAGGATTTTAATTAGGGCTTAAATTTGGTAATGTAGTAAAATTGGTGCACAATGTATTAACAAATTCTATGTTAATATAAATGATGTATTAACAACTTCTAAATAATATTTTATCTCCTTGAAGCCTGTGCTGAAAATTTAGCTTCTTCTAACTTTTTTGTTACAATTTAAAAGAAAAAAAGAAAAAAAATCGAACAAATAAGACAGAATATTAAAACACTGCGATTTCTAATGCATAATTCTTTTTATAACATCGATCCCATGAACAAATTCAGATTAAAAAGTGACCAGATATATAAGAACAGAAAACAGAAAAAATTTAGATCATATTATAGTATAAATTGAAAGTAATTAATAATGTATAGAGAAGTATTCTGGGGTGTCATGGTAAGTGACCAGGCGTCTGCAGTTTGCCTATTTCTGAATACGAGTATAGCAAATAGCGTTATCAATCATTTTACAAGAAAAAAAATCGATTATAACTTCCTTTATCGATTAAGAATTTAAACAAATAAAAAAGTTAGCTGCTCTGGGTAAGAATCAATTCAACATTTAAAAAGTTTCTCCAACTTTAAAATTCAAAATATTTAAGATAATTTTGAATGTCAATCAAATTGTCTTCAAAAAATATATTAAGTAAAAATAATAACCATATTGATCTAACAATACGGGTTAATTGATAAGGATGGCAAAATAAAATCTTGGAATGCATGTTATTTCTTGCATCTGATTTTCGATATTTTTCAATTATGTATTAGTATTATTCCAATCTTATTTTAGCATAGAAAATAGACGTTAAAGTAAAAGAAAAGAAAAAAAATTTTAGTCCAGTCTTCGAAACTTCACAAATATTTCGAATAGAACTTAATACAGGATCCCTATCGGTCCAGTAAAATACGATACAACTGCGTGTCGCAGTCGCTATGACAACGGTTACCATAGCAACCTTCTAGACGATGAATGGAGTAACTAGTTTAGGGTCTAATAGAGGGGGAGAGCGGTTTAGAAGTGGGGAAGCCTAGAGGCCACCAGAATTCGGGGCCTTGCGGGGTTTTATAAGAAGATACTGTTTATTGGCGGATATCAATGAGAAGTCTCCGGTATTCATCACCTTTTGAGTGCATCATTTAATCGCCAATAATACTCACAAATAAGCCCTTCCGTACTTGCAATACACGGAAATTCTACGTCATATTCTTATTTTCTCACTCTTTTATATTATCTCTGGCCATAGGTTCCACAATCCCTTTCTTTCTTTTTTCCAAAACATTTCTTTGATAACTACGGCATTTATTATTCCGCCATTTAATTAATGTATTCCTCAAATAATCTCTCTTGGACGAAAGAATATTTTTGTTCTATAATATTTTGTTATTCGTACAGACAAAAAATGCAAGTTCTAGGGTACACCTAAAAAAAAAAAAAATTGGACTGTGTACTTCAACTTCGTCCGCTTCAAAAATCGGAACCCTGGGACACCGTAGCTTCGAAGCAAGTTCACAGCAACGTGGAATCAAGTTTAGGAAGTACGGTAGTATGGTTCCACATGGCACCCTATTAAAGTTGCAGCAAATACGAACAATTATTGATCGACCCTCCGCACAATTTCTTATAGATAGACCTAAAATTAACCACTCATCACATACAGAGTTAACAAAGAAAGAAAAAAAAAAGTGGGCACTTAAATTAACTAAGCAACTGAACACCTTTTCTCCCATTGTTTACCTTTGAAAAAAAAAAAAAAAAACAACTAAGTACATCATAAAAGTCAATGAATGAATATTTTAATGAAAATGAATATGAATGAATATTTTAATCATGAATAATTCATCAATGAATATTTTAATGAAAATTTTGATCTTTCAGAATCCATCAATTTATGATGGAAAGAGAGTTTTTTCGCAATTCACATACTTCGTAGTTATAATGTACATGTTACCGGCAAAGTATGAAACGTCGGCATTCTACAGAATGCCTAGGCATTGTATATAATGCCGGATGCTTTTAGGCAAGGTATGAAATATGAGAAGTATTACATACTTTCCCTAGGAATTGTATACAATACCTAGGCATTCTATAGAATGACAAATGCTATTTAGCAAAGTATGAAAAAAACGTCCTGATGAGGTTTTTATGTAAATGGTGTGCATTTCTCAAACAAAAAATTTTATTCTGAAAAAATAATGAGAGTGCCATTAAAAAAAATTTATTCAAAATCCGTAAAAAAAATGAAAGCTGTACAAAACATAATTTATGCCTTTCTTATTAGGGGAAACGAAATGTTCATATAAAAAAAATAAGAAATTAACCTACTTGTTGCAACATGCAGGATTGAATGACATTTCGAATTACATATCATTTCATTACATTAAGAAACGAATCAGAGATGCATTTTATACTTTGCCGATTTCTCATTTACCATTTCTATAGAATACCTATGAAATGTGTGAAATATAAATCGTTTCATACATTGCCTGCTAGTTTTAGGCATTATATGCAATGCCTAGGCATTCTATACAATGCCGGATTTCAAACTATGCCGGTAACATATACATTAAATGTACTTTTTCACCCCAAATATTTTTAAATAAAGTTCTTTGAAGTCAGTATGTTGAACTAAATTTCGTCACAAATTTATATTATTTTTATTGCTGAATTAACTCTTTATAGCCTTAGATTATTTCTAATATTAATTTTTTCTTTGTGAAAGAATTTTTTTATTTTTTTTATTAAATCCAAGGGAAAAAAATTAGCGAAAAAGTGGCTGAGAAATAAAAAAGAACCTATCGATATCAGTCACCGTCTCAATGACTGAGGCTACATTTGAGTCTACCGGCCTTAGGCTAACTGAAAATTTAAATTTTCAGGTCTACTAATAGAGTATTGTAAAAGATGAGTTAGATAAGTTTCTTGAACCAAATACTGATAGTCACTGTATCTTTTTAAAGTGTTTCATATTTATTAAGAAACGTAATTACAAAGTAACCACACAGAAAAAACTTATATTGATTTGAAATTTAATTGAATAAATCATCTTATTAGAATAAATCATAACTTACATACTAAAACGCACAAGTAAAGTTTTTTATTGCTCGAGAAATCATATTTATTATAAAGTAATAAAACTATAATTCGTGTACTTAATATCGATTAAAATAATTTATAATGAAATATTTCTGATCTAGAAAAATCGGAGAAGAATAGGAAATAATTAAAAAGTATAGTTATATAGTAATTGAAAGAAAAAAAACCTCAGGTCCAGTATTATTCCGATTAATAAATCATTTCTTCAAGTATATGGAAAATGATATCAAGGAAATGATCCACTACGCAAAAAGTGCCGGTAAATCAAAATTTCATAGATAAAAAATAAATTTGAAAATGAGAATAGAAATTAGGGAACATTAACTGGAAATCTAAATATAATTCCTTACAATATTTAAAATTTACGAAAGTTCTTTGCAAAAGTAACTACCTTAGGCACTTATATGGGGCAAATGATTCATAAGTGCATTTATCTGCTTCTTGTTTGCGCTACGTTTTAAAGATTTTTATATACAAGCCATTCTATACACGCAAAGCAGCAGTGGTGGTGGTCACAGTGTTTAAACAAAATAAATTTTTAGAGGAGGAATTTAGAAAACAAATTAATGATTTCAAAAATTTTAAAACCAAGGTACACTCATTTTCACAATGGACGACATTTGTGTACACTGTATACATCTGTTAACGATTAAGAGAAAAGTCATTGAAGAAAACATTTCATGAAAGCTTTTATTGCGTAATTGTAATGTTTTATTTATATTCAATAATTATTTATCATCCCCAGTAAAAAAAAATTAATTGTTTGCGGATGAACCCTAATAAAAAAAATTACTCATTAAAAGAATCTCGAAAAAAAGGTTATATTCAAAGATAATAAAATATCGAAAGTTCTAGAATTAGTTCGCGGATACAAAATAGTAACTCTGGCAGCGGTGGGATTCGAACCCACGCCTCCGAGGAGACTGGTGCCTTAAACCAGCGCCTTAGACCGCTCGGCCACGCTACCCCTTCTTCAACAGTTGATAAAAATAGTATAAGCAATATACATTTGTTGCAGATAAACAGATTAATAAAGAAATAGGTTATTCCCTTTTTTAACAAAACACAATTTAAAACAAAAATGTTGTATAAAATCTACTGGAACAATAAAAAATAGTATTTTAACCACACATTTAATATTAGCTGTTAATAAAAATAAAAAAATATTTTAAAAAATTTTTTACGAATAAGTACTCTTACGAGTAACAGTTTTTTAAAAATTACAAAATTAAGAGTAAATACAATTTTTTATTAGGAAATTAAAAGAAATATTTAAAATTAACTTGGATTTAAATAATTAAAATTATTAATTAGAATTATTTAAAATTAAATAATTAAAATTTACTTACCACCACCATGAATGTAGAAATCCTGGAGGCTCTCCTAGTGTGATATTTTTTTCCCACCTTATCTGTAAAATTAAAAAAGTATACATTAATTACAGAGATTAAAAATAACAATTAAAATATACAAGAAAGCCTCTTATAAAGATATAAAAAAAAATTCTAAATTATATAGTTACTTTAAAGTTTTTTTATTGGTTAATTTTTTTAAAATTATCTAACTGAAAATTAAACACTTGACTTAGTAGTTACTCTAAGGTATTTTGATCTATTTCTCACTGATTAAAAGCTATTTCTAAAGCAGTGTTTCCCAAAGTGTGGTACGCGTACCCCCAGGGGTACGGGAACAGTTTAGCGGGGGTACGCGCTCTTATGCAAAATGTCTTGCAACAAACGAAAATTTCAAAAAATTTTATGTGAAAACAAAGCTAGCCATGAAAATTTACGATTACGTATTTTTCTATTGGCTATTTTTTTGCAGAGTTAACAGTTAATAATTAGCAGCGTCAACAGCCAGTTGTGATTTTTAACTTTTGTGCAATTCTTTTTTAGTAAAAAATACATTCATTTTTTTATTAGTGGTACACAGCGTTACGAAAAATTTAGAAATGGTACACAAAAGTCATAGCTTGGAAAACACTGTTCTAAAGCATATTAAATCTTTTTATTATTGTGGTAATTTATGTAACAGTACATGGAATTATCTTTCGGCAAACGAGTTTTATAAATATGAGTGGCAAGATTTATTTTTTCCCATCAATTATCTTCGGAGATATAGCAAAATAAGAAAAAAATTACAAATAACAATAAGGGGTAAAACTATTTTGAGCAAATTTTCTAGTTTTTTTTAAAGACTATGTGAATACATATAACTACCAATAAAGTAATAAAAAAAGAAAAAGAAAGAAAACATTATGATTTTGTTGAAATTATAAAATATATTTTTTGATATGAGAAATATTTCAATAAAAAATTTATACTAAAATTTACAAATTTCATTTAACTACTTTTTTTTTCTTCCAATGCCCACCTGGACCTAGGTCATACAGGTATCTGAAGGGCAGATTTGTTGGCCACTCTTTCAGGGGGTACCATATTAGTTGCGCCAACCTTGCTCCCACAGTAAGGACAGATAGTACAAAGAAGGAAAGAACATCCATGCCTTGCCCGGGATTCGAACCCAGAACCTTTCTTCTAATTATTGTGTTTTTTTGCTACATTGACACTTCATGCACAGTAGAAATCGGTATGTAGTTTTGTTTAAGCTATAATTATTTATTCATTTAACGTAGAAGCTAAATAAATATGTAATTTAAACAGTAATTAGAAATTTGTATACATAAGTACTTATGCAAAAATAAAGACACGCAATTCTTTGTTTGTTTAAATTAGGTACATATATTTAAATAAGGAAAAATTATTTTAAGAGAAATTATAAAATCACACACACTGACACTTAAGCAAAATAAAAGTCCTTTTTTATATTTTTGTTTAAATTTATTATAAATATTTTATTTAATTGAAGGTTTGAAAATATTCAATCTAAAGACATATTATGAATTTGTCTACATTGATTATTGATACTTTATGTAGAATAAAAAAAACTAGCCATATATGATCGTTTAAGTACTTATTTTACTTAAAAGAAAAGAAATAAGCAATTTAAAGAGGAATTATAAATTTGTATACATTGACACTTGATGCAAAATAAATTAAAAATTGTATTTTATTCATTGAAACTAATAATACACATTTATTTTAACGAAAGGCAAGAAAATAACTGCTTTTTCTAAATAGTTGATGAACCTTGCATTTTTAACTTTTTTTTAAGTCAATTTTGTTTAGTGTTAGTGAAACAATTGAAATGGAAATTGCAAACAGACTTTTCTTTAAACGCTTCACAACAAAATCTATCAAAGCTTCCATACATTTTTTTTAGTTATTCTACATTATAGACCTAAATCATTTTAAATCTAATTTATCAAAAAAATCAAATATTAGATTATTAACTTTATCTCAACTTTAAGTATAAAAATAAAATCTCTTGAATAATCCCAACTTGGGAGCTAGCACCATAATCAGCATTTTCTTCAGAATATTTATTCTGTTAGGTGGTTTAAAAAAAGTGTTCAACGATTAGAAAAAAATATTGATAACAAAAATTAGTATTTCAATTGAATATATCACAAAAAATACCAAATAAATAAGGACTTGATTAGTGAAAATAAAAAGAAAACACATTTATTTATTTAGTTTATCATTTATTAACTCCTACAAGCCCTTGATATTCTGTTACATTGATTATAAAAAAAAATTAAAAAAAAAAGACTGTCTTATCCCTTGATCTCTTTTAAAGGCAAGGTTGATATTAATATTCTATTACATAGTCCATTAAAAAAACTTTTTTCAAACTTGAATTGATAGCAAAATTTAGTATCTACATTAAATAAAGACTTTGATCATTCAAAGAAATTGTGAATAATTCAAATATTTGAATTATGGAAGAAATATTCCCTGCTATATTTCCGTCAAATGAACTCAAAAAGTTAAGATTCTTTAAAACTGCTATTATACTACTTAAATCGGGGTTGGAATTTTGTACAGAAGAAACCTATTTTTTAAAAGATACTGGAAAAAACAAGACAAAATGGAAGAAACTAAAAATGAAAATGACCAATATATAGTTGTTCAGCAATAAGCATTATAAGAATACTTTAAACTAATTAACTTTAATATACAGTACCAGTAAGTTAAAAGCTTTGTACATCTAATCAACTCTTAAAATGTTTTATTATTTGATAGTTTTCTTTGAAAAAGAATTTCCATTTTTTTCTCCACTTGTGTTAGAAGAAACTTAATTTCTTTGTAAGGTTTTTTTCGTGTTACTGTGGAAGAAACCTGCTATGACCAAATTAAATTTAATATGCTCATTTATAAAAAAAAAAATGTCTATTTGTTAAGCAAGTATAAAAATATTTAATTTTAAAATTTAATTGCACCAGATAGTATTCTCGCTCTTTTTTAACTTGTAACACTTGTACAAAGCACTATCTATCAAAGCAGTAAAACACTTGTACAAAGCAGTATCTTATTTCATACATCAGAGCTCATTCTAGGCAGAAAAAAGGGCAGGGTGCAAAAGTTAAAAAAAGGGCATTATTATTCTAAAAAGGCAATAATTTCTTTCTATGGGCTTTACACGTTTTATTAAAAAACATTGTAAATTAGTAAAAGTTTTTTTTTAACTTTACCAATAGTAGCAAAGCAATCACATAAATAACTAATTTTTATTAATAAATTAGCATTTATATTGAGTTAATGAACTAATTAGCTTAGTAGTAATTCATTTAAAATGCATGTATATATTAATAAAATAATAAATGTATGTTTTTAAGTGTCTGTAGTTATGATTTAATAATTAAAATCAGTAATAATAATTATGATTTAATGATAGTAGAAGTAAATGCAAACTTTCAAAGACAAGTACAAGGGGGTGTGATGGCTATTTTTCCTTTCCCATATAAATCTATGTATTGACAGCAATGACAAACTAAATAAAAAGAGTTAAAAATAACAAAGTTTAAGAAATCCATTGTAGAGTTTGGAGAAAAAAATAAATGGTTGAGAAAAGAAAGAACAAAAAGGGTATGTAGTCTATTACATCAGGGCACTAATCTACTTCAGGGGCAACAGGGTGGATTCTTTTGACTAAAAGGGCAGCAGGGCCCTGTTTACCCTGCCTAGAATAAGCTCTGCATATATTATTAATTGATTTCACAAATTAATACTTTCTTCTGAGTTTTTCTCTCGATTCCATTCTCATAATGATTTTACATTCTTCTTGCACAAACGTTATACAATTCTTTGAAGGAGAAATGAAAGCCATTGAATCAAAACTTGTAATAGTGTATTTAAAAGTAATTTATTCCTTTATTTTAATTTATGCTAATAATCAGGGTTGGCAGGTTTTTGACATGTGACAGTTTTTGACAGTTTAAACCATGGTTTAAACCGTCACGTCAAAAACCTCACTGTCAAAAATGTCGAAAATGTCAAAAACCTATATTCATATGTGAAATTTAATTAATACATAAAATTTATATATTTTTTATAAAGGATAGTGTTTCTAAATATGTTCTAGAAAAAATAAATTTAAAATTTTGAAGAAACACTTATATTTTGAATAGTAACCAAAATCTTGTACTTTTGAAAGCTCACATCTTTTGTAATATTATGTATTCATTTTCATGTGTTATTGAAAATCTGCAGTGATATTATTAAGAAATTTATTTATAACCAAATTTAGTGTATAGTATAGATTATACTAAAAATTAGACATTTTTAAAGATAAACATTAGCAGTTTTGTACATTAGACATCTTTTAAAGAAAAATCTTTTTAATATTCTTTTAAATCTTCTTAATAATCTTTTTAACATAAGACAATACAAATTTAAGTGCTTTCTGTTAAATACACAGAGTAGTTAGTGTCGATTTACAGTATATTCAGCCTATTCATTTACTATGCTGAAAATTTAGTTTATCCAAATACTTGTGAATTTCATTTTGCTGAATACGATATAGTTTTGTTGAATATCTAAATATTCAGCTGTTGAATAATTACTTCTTGCTTTCAAGATATGCATTATTTGTATTCTTAATACAAGTGGAGAAAAAAAAATTAAGAGATAAAAATTGTTTTAAAATGATAAGTGTAATAATTATAAATAAATATAATAAACAATATGAATTATATTTATCATTATTCATAAATATAACTACTTTTAAATTCAAATTAACATACTGGATAATAAAGATATTCGGTATAACATTAAAAAAATTTTTTTATACACTTGTATCTTATATCAAGTTTGTATTTATACAACATAACTTGTAAGTTCCTTATAAATATTAGTTATATGTTCCTTATATGTCAAAAATGCATAGTAATAAACTTTTAATTTTCTTAAGTATCAAAAAAAAAAATTTTTTTTTTCAAAATATAAATATTTAAAAAAATTTTGTGCAAAATTTTTCTGCACATGCATTTGAATATAAATTTCTGAGATT